AAGCTAGCTGCATTTTAAGATGGCATTTTAAAAAACATTCTGACCAACCGCAGGTAAAGAGGTTCACAGCGTGGCAGATTACAGAACTTAAAGTACTTGAATGCAGTGCTCATCTCTGGAGTGCTCTTTGATTCTCAAAATGGAATCAATTATGTTTCAAATGGCAGCCACAGCCAAAAGACTTCTACCCTTTACCCTGACTTTGTGTTGCAAGGGTCTGATGTGTCTACATTTACAGTGCGATGATTGTTCTACCAAATACGTTAATGATTTTTAAATGTCTAGAGCTGAAAAACCTGAAGATCTTTATTTGAATGTCTACTTCAACTCTAAAAATATTCACAATAAATTGATTCATAATAAAATATCACAAAAAAAGACAATTAGGCTACTGTACCTTCACACAACAGCTAAATATGGCACAAATCTTTGTCTTAAAAAGTCTTAAATGCAAAGTTTTGATTCAAATCAGAATTTGTGTTAACATTGGGCAAATAATCCAAGTCATAAATAACATTAAATGAAATTTTAAATAAACTAATAAAATTAATAAAGTGTGTGTGTGTGTGTTAATTAAAAAAATCACTTTAGTTTAAGTTGAAGTACTACAATAATTAAAACTGTAATTAAAGTAAAATTTATAAAAAATAGATGTATTGCTAAACAAAAACTAATTAAAAACACCATATTGCTAAAAACTGCATCAAATGAAAATGAAAATCTAAATCTAAATAAAAACTAAAATAGTCTATCAAAATAACACAGTAACACTTCAGTATAGGGACCAGTTCTCACTATTAACTAGTTGCTTATTAGCATGCCTATTATTAACATATTGGCTCTTTATTAGTATTTATAAAGCACATATTCTGCATGACCATATTCTACATCCCTAATCATACACTTAACAACTACCTTACTATTAATAAGCAGCAAATTAGGAGTTTATTGAGGCAAAAGCATTGGTTGATGGTTTGTTAATAGCGGTAATTGGACCTTAAAATAAAGTGAGACCAATAACATTGATATACTATATATATATATATATATATATATATATATATATTCATATCATTTATATTACATATAAATATATTTAAGATATACATTTTTCTGAAATGTATACATGCATGCATGTGTATTTATATATACATAATAAACACAGTAAACACACATATTATGTAAACAAAAACTTTTATTTTTTTATGCGATTAATCGCGATTAATCGTTTGACAGCACTAATATGTACAGTGGGTACGGAAAGTATTCAGACCCCCTTAAATTTTTCACTCTTTGTTATATTGCAGCCATTTGCTAAAATCATTTAAGTTAATTTTTTTCCTCATTAATGTACACACAGCACCCCATATTGACAGAAAAACACAGAATTGTTGACATTTTTGCAGATTTATTAAAAAAGAAAAACTGAAATATCACATGGTCCTAAGTATTCAGACCCTTTGCTCAGTATTAAATCATATCACATTATATAAAATATATGAATATACTTATATATCCTATTATAATTATATAACAATATAATATATGAAAAGAGTGCCTGATCACATTTAAAAGATCTGAATTAGGCATTCTCAGTGTAAATGTTGCTTTGCAGCCAACTGCTGCTAGAGCTAAGAAAAAAGGATGGAGAGCTTTTCCTGTTTCTTGTTCTGTCATCGTTCCTTTACCATTTAGTTGAAGAAAGGATATAAAACGACGGTATTAGAAGGAGCAAGAAAAATCCAAAAAGGACAGCAGAAACCAGGTAGTGAGGGTGAGATAAGACAGCAGGTCCCACTAAAACCACGCACAGCATGTGTGTGTCAGAGAGAGAGAGAGAGAGAGAGAGAGAGAGAGGTGTGTGGCCTGGTGTTCCTGAGTGTGTGTGTGTGTGTGTGTGTGTGTGTCTGTGATTAAACAGGATTGTGTCTGGTCTCTGCGAGTCCCCGGGGAGCGGCTGGTCTCACGGCAGGCTGTCACTGAACACATTCTAAAGGCAAAGACTTGTTTAATCCCCGTGGCCCTGGTGCACCTCCCACTGTCTAAAGCTCTTTTCTCTGTCGCCACTCGCCTTCCTTCCATCTCTTTTGTTCTGAACTGCACAGCTCTCATTCTGTAGCAGCAGGTTACCGATCTGCAGCTTTTCTTCAATGCCTTAGACTTATAATAGGCCTATTTACAAGAGATACACAGCACACACAAAGGGGGTCGACTGCCAGAACATAATTCTTTATCAGTCGATTTTATGAGCGAGACATTAGGCACTTTTACATGTATTTGAAACAAAGGGCTCCTGTGAGCAGACTGGGAGCTCCTTTATCTCATTTTATCCTCAAATTTTGAACAGATGAAAGAAATCTATGTGAACAAACTTTAACCAACTTTTAAAAAACACATACTGAAATGTCCAAGTACTATCATATTATCATGTTTTTTTGCACATTTACTATGGTAATACCATGTTTGTGCATGTTATCGTAGTACCACCATTCTTTTGTACATTTACCATATTGGTAATACAATGTTTTTGCATATGGTATCATATAATATAATAATTTTAACACCATGTCTTTGGTTATGATATCATAGTAATACCATATATATTTTTGTACATTTACTAAGATACAATGTTTTGTATATTATCAGAGTAATAACATGTTTGTACATTTATCTTGGTAATACCATGTTTTGTTTTTTTCACATGGTATCATAGTAACATCATATTTTTGCATAATCACCAGTAATACTATGCATTTTCTACATTTATAATTGTAATACTCTATGATAATTGTAATTATAATGCTAATTGATATGGTATTATAGTAATATCATGTTTTTTTGTACATTTATGGTAATACCATGTTTTTGCACATGATTTCACAGTAATAACATGCTTTTGTACATTTACCATGGTAATACTGTATTTTTGTACATTTTCTATGGAAATACCATGTTTTTGGAAATGGTCTCACGATAATACCATGTGCAGAGACAACACTAACACAGTGAACAATAATCGGTAACACTTTACTTGAAGGGGTGTGCATAAGACTGACATGACACCTTCATAATCATGACATGACAAATGTCATGAATATGAAGGAGGTTTTATGCATGTTTATGACAACTGTCATTAAGTGTCCTTCGCTCAATTATGTCATTTTTAATGCAAATATGACATTATTTGACCTAACCCTACCCCTACCCTTACCCCTAACCATAGCCCATAACAAATACATCTCAAACAATGTCATCTTTGCATTAAAAATTACATAACTGAGCGAATGACACTTAATGACAGTTGTCATAAACATGCATAAAAAACCTTCATATTCATGACATGTGTCATGTCATGATTATGTAGGTGTCATGTCAGAATTATGAAGGTGTCATGTCAGTCTTATGCACACCCTTTCAAGTAATGTGTAACCCAATAATCTCTATAAATATTTTAGATAATATTTTAATAATAAAAAAAAACTTTTAATAAGTAAAAATAGAGAAACAAATACGACAATTGTTTTCATATAGTATTCAACTGAACTACACAATTGATAGTGTTGGAAGAATTTGAGTATATATTAATATCTCTGAGGGGTTCGATCTTTAAATCACAACTAAGTAGGTTAGAAGATATACCATATTATTATCATAACCATTATTAGCATAGAACTACCATTCATCTTAGCATCTCCAGGCTAAGATTCATGTACATATACAGTACAGTATTTGGCAGTGTCTACGTTTCTCATTCTATCATCATGCTCTCTGCTTTAACCTATTAATTTCAATCCTGAGGAATAATTTCATGTTACTCATTCTGCCATGTAGTCAGACCACCGTCATTTTTCATCTTTTACTTTCTCTTCTGCAAACATCAATTAACCCCCATTTTCCCTGCCGCTAGAGTCTGGCTAGCAGGACTGTCCATTTAAAGATAAATTGAAAAGCAGATGCATTTATTAACTTAATTAGGTTTCCAAGAAGACACATACTGCCTTTGATTGCACCGTAATTCAATGAGAAATAGAAATGAAATGTTTGGGGAAACGTGAATGCACTCGCCAATTTCCAAAAATAATATTAACAAATCAACGCCGGGTAAGGTCTAACTCAACAGCACGGCTAAACGTGGCTTTTAGGAAAAGAACGGGAGGAGCCTCTGACATGTGTGCAAGGTTTTTAGGGCTTGGGGAGGAAGGTTTTAAGGATTTAAAACAGTAGCTGACTTTCACCACTGCTGCTATCACACTCTTTTGCATCTTCAAACAACATCCGCTTAGCTTTTATAAGAAATTAACAAAGCCAGGGAACAGATAAGCCTGGTTAGAGTATTTTTAGGATATGCAGTAAATATTTTTCTTTCTAACAGTAAATTATGCATAATTACAATAAAGTAACCCTAAAATAAGTACATATTGTTAATTAATATGTATTCAGTCAATTAATTATTTAATCAGTATTTATTTGTATAACTACACTGTAACAAGGACATCTTAAATTATCATTTATATATATATATATATATATATGTATATATATATATATATATATATTAGTGCTGTCAAATGATTAATCACATCCAAAATAAAACAATTTGCATAATATATGTATGTGTGCTGTGTATATTTATTATGTATATATAAATACACACATGCATGAATATATTTCAGAAAAATATGTTATGTCTATATATTAAATATATTTATTTAGAATATAAATTATATGAATATAAGTATAAACATGTAAATACAAGTAAATATTTTAAAAATATATACTGTATGTGTGATAATCGTTTGACAGCACTAATAATTATTTTATTAGCAAACCATGGGCTGATTTAAGATGTTCTTTCCAGCAAGGAAAGAGTCCATTTTAATTAGAACAAAAATGTGTTAATACATTTTTAGCACTATCCATGTGCCATAATGCAGCTGGAATCCAGGAGAATGTAAGGATACGACTGAAGCGGGTAGAGGGGGATTCTTGTTGACTCTCACCTTTGATGAAGAGGTGTCACATTCCTGACAGATCCATCCATAGCCGGTTTGTTTGGGCGACTTCTTCAGGGGAGGGTCCAGACAGCCAAAGTGGTAACAGAGCTGACACTCATCACACCTATGAGGAAAACAGGAAGCATTTTAGCAGCAAGATTACATTAAAATGCAGCTGCAGTGCCGTCGCGCGCTCACACGCATGCACTCTGCTTATACCCTGCCAAGAGGCCAGTATGGCCCTAACCAGGCAGGTATGATAGATGAAGACAGAGCCATTTGCTGTCAGGTAACAGATGCTTAATAGATTCAAAACACATTGGCACACAACCTCTCACACGGCCTTGTACAGCCATCATAAAACACGCTGCTCGATTGGTCCTGCCGAAATGAGTTTCTGCTCATCCTGTCGATAAATCTCTATAGGATTTTTATTCCAGAGTCAAGGTGTCAAGAAAGACACTGAGATTCTGTCCTTAGTTATAGGTCTGCTCAACCACCACTCCTGCTATCCAATTTTACATAAACCGTAAAAGACCTCCATCTTGCTTCGATTATTATGCTATTCTGCAGCCGTTCAGTGCTGTACTGAATATTGTTAGTCAAAACAAAATGCAACATCCTCAGAAGAATACAGGACCATTCCACATTAGTTTCAGAAAACATGTCATTACATGATACAGTGAATAATCAAATTATTGACAAATAATCAAATACATATCTGAGGATCAGTATCTTAAGAGGTTCAACTTGCTCCAGTGTTAGAAACATTTGGTAACAAAGTGATACAAAAGTAATGTTTATTTATTTATTTATCTATTATTTGCTGACTTTTGTAAGTTTCATGATAGGGATTTTTTGTAACATTTTAACATTAACATCAATATTTTTTTTTAAAGAAATGAACACTTTTAGTCTGCACTAACAATTGATCAAACATGACAGTAAATATATAAATAACTTTTATAATGTTATAAAAGATTTCTATTTAAAATAAATGCTGTTCTTTTGAACTTTATATTCATCAAATAATCCAGAAAAAAATGTAAGAAAATATTAAGCAGCACAACTGTTTTCAGCAATGTTTCTTGAGCAGCAAATCAGCATATTAAAATGATTTCTGAAGAATCATGTGACACTGAAGACTGGAGTAATGGTGCTGAAAATTCAGCTTTACAATTACAGGAATAAATTCAATTTTAAAATATATTTGAATCAAATGAAAATAGTCATATTAAATTGTAATAATATTTCAAAATAATAATGTTTGTGTACAATATTACTGTATTTTTGATTAAATAAAAGCTGCATTGTTAATTTATAAATATACTATTTTTCATTACTAATTCATTTTTTGTTCATAATACATTTACATTTAGTCATTTAGCAGATGCTTTTATTCAAAGCGACTTACAAATGAGAACAATAAAAGCAGTCAAAACTACACAATGATAATAATACATAATAATTGACATAATACAAATACATTATTCACAATGTAAATTTACACAACTTAATGTTAAAATTACATATTAGTATTTATAGAAACTAACATTAACTATATACTATAATACAAGTTTTTTGTTTTTTTTTTGTTTATAAAAACTCTCCAAATCAACTTTATATTCAAGGTCCGTGGGCACAAATAAACGCATCTTTATTACTTTTTGAATAATTAACTGCAATAAATTAACATGCTAAAATGACAGCTGTCAAAACATATTAACTATATCTACATTCATAAGACTATTGTAACACACAGTGCATGAAGTTCAGCTCTCATTTAACATTCATAAGGTGTATCTTCCCACATGCCCTTCACCCTGCAGTCCATGCTCTCTTCTCCTTCCTGTCCATAATTAACTAATTATGTTGTAATCAATATAGTAGATTCTGATTTGGCAATGTAAATCAGATAAAGCCGATAAGAGCCGGGGAGGTCAATAGGCCAATTCCCCATCCTCGTCTCCATTACGGGACGAGGGGCGCAGCGGTCTTATCAGCGAGCCCGCAGGATGAGGCGATAGAAAAAGACAGGGACAGATGCCATATTTTTTTTCTGCCAGGTGAACGAGCGAGGGTTGTTCTTGGTGTCACCGAACCCGACGCTGGGTGACGTGGAAGCCCTTTTCAAACTCAGGCCCATCACAGACTTCAAATGCTAATTAAAGGACTGGACGGGGATGCGGCTCAGTGCTAATGAGCAGAGAGTCTCATGGCGAAGTCACATGTACACCTTCTGTCAACACCGAATGGCTATAATACAGCATATAATGGCTAACCCGATCACATTAATATAGTTTTCTGGTCATTAGTACCGCATATCATTGAGAGAGTGCAAAAAGGTCAAACGCACTCTTGATTTCTGCTTTATAAGCCTCATTTATTAAGGAAATATGATGGCAGAAACACCAAAAACTTGTGCATATTGATGTTCAACAGGTTTACTTGCCATTTAGAGTCTGATTGAAGATCAAAAAGCCAACAATGACTCCTGCTGCTCATATCCACACAGCACATTTCACACCGTTTCTGATCAAGCAACCAAATAAACTTCTCAAGTCCTAAGGGAGCACTTCAAGGTGTTTTTGCAAAAGTGAATGAGCTGAATCTCACCTGTGGTTACCATGCCAACCCTGGCAGAGCTGCTATAGGGCAGCCAAAGACAAACGCATTCACAAATTCCCACTGGATCAAAACTACTGTAGTCTGGAACGTCCTAAGACGTAAGCGTAACCTATCGGTTTGACTCACTTACTACAGTTCAAGCTGTTTTATTGTGTCACAATAAGGTATACAGAGAAGTCTAACTACTTAGAAGTGCAAAAGGTATTTTTATAGGTTCAGCAGAAAAACTCTGTTACTATAGCCATGATTTTGGCCATATATAACCACTGTTCAAAATTTGGGGTCTGTAAGATTTTATTTATTTATTTTATTTTTTAAAATAAGGACATTAATACTTTGAAAAAAAGTGTTCTTTTGAACTTATTCAAAAAAAAAAACCTTCACAAAAATATTAAGCAGCACAACTGTTTTCAACATTGATAACGATAAGAAATGTTTCTTAAGCACCAAATTAGCATATTGGAATGATTTCTGAAGGATCATATGACACTGGAGTAATGATGCTGAAAATTCAGCTTTACAATTACAGGAATAAAATACATTTTAAAATATATTTAAAAAGAAAGAAGTTATTAAAATTGAAATATTATTTCACAATATTACTGTTTTCATTAGGTTTATGTTCAAATAAATGCAGCCTAATTCCAGCTATTTGATTTAAGTTTTATCTAATTTATGGGGCTAATCCAGGTTTTTCTTGACAACCATTAGCAAAATTAATATATAGTTGACCAAATGTACATATCAATACCTAATCATTATTCAGCTAGTTAAATTTACATTACAACTTAGCCTATCCTGATAAAAGTGACAATATCAAAAACGAATTAGTTAATTCAAATAATAAGCAAAAAACCTTGACTAACATCATTAGTGGAAACTGGGGGGAAAAAATGGTGGCACACTTTATTTTAAGGTCCAAGTCTCGCTATTAACAAACCATTAACTACAACTTTTACCTCAATAAACTCCTAATTTGCTGCTTATTAATAGTTAGTAAGGTAGTTGTTAAGTTTAGGTATTAGTGATGTAGACTATGGTTATGCAGAAAATATGCTTTATAAATACTAATAAACAGCCAATATGTTAATAATAGGCATGCTAATAAACAACTAGTTAATAGCGAGAATTAGTCCCTATACTAAAGTGTTACTAAAAATATAACGCTAAAAACACAAAATACTTCTCTGTTAAATGCCAATTGCATGTATAGTTGTGCATGATTAAAGCAAATCATACTGACAATATACATCTTATTCTGTTACATGAGAAAAATATAAAACGTGTTAATTTCCCTCAACAAACACAAACCTCATCTCTTTACCCAACATAGCAGCAGTCGATTCACAAGCTCACGTAAACGGTGCATACTGCTTGTGCCTCAGAATGCTCGGTTTCTTCCTGTTTCTAATCCATATATTTATTGTGACAGAGCAATGAGAAAATGGCTTGCCCTCGGCGACAAACTGTCAACACGAAGCTGCCTCCATTACATGATCCTCCTCTGAAGAGAGAGAGTGGGTAAAGGGGGGGAAAAAATCCTCCTACGGAAAGATTCCCAGAATTTTGCTCATATCCCATTATACCTTGCAATAACGGCTGCCTTTCACTCGTTAGTGGAATAGTTAACGAGAACAAATGCACTTCTGTTTTATTATTTTGTCCATAAAAGAGCTGTTAAATGAGCCAGACAGCTAACATGAACTGGTCTCACATGAGACTGTATGAAGCATTTGGGTTTTAAGCGTAGTATTGCTAATATTTTTATCTAATGATATATTCTAATCAAGATCAAGTAAAGCATTTTTCTACCTACTAAAGGTATATTTAGGTTGAAAATATGTATTATTGGCATAATGTTGATTGCCACCGTCATTTTGACTCATCCATCATTATACATTTTTATTTTTATTATATTTTTAAACTAATATATATATATATATATATATATATATATATATGGGAAAAAATATTTAGTCAGCCACCAATTGTGCAAGTTCTCCCAATTAATCTGTTTACATAATACAGAACAGGTTATAAGTGTACTGTTTTCATATTGTGGCTGCACTATTGAGTATTTCTTTTGGATTGGTCCCATTCACTTCCATTTTAAGTGTCTTGTAACCCAGATTTTTTTTTTAAAGCAAAGGAGGGTCAAGTGGAAATTAATTTTAGTGCTAATAAACTGTATGCCACAAATGCTGCACATTATGCTTAACTTGTATTGAACCCAGAATAATTCTTTAAAGAAAATCATTAAAGCAAAACAAGTAAGAATTATCCCCAAAGTCCAATTTACTGCAATATTATAAGGTGAAAAAACAAACGTGAGACAGACAATGAAATCACAAAGCAAGATGACAACTACAATTACTTTTGTCTGAACAGATGTGAGGACAGGGTACCAGTACAAACACACACAGCGGCGCGCTCACACACACACACACACACACACACACACACACACACACACACACACACACACACACACACACA